GCTATGGCATATGACAAAACAAATTACATTTTGATAATTATTGGCCAGCATTTATCATTATATTGTTCATAATAAAGTGTTGGGGTGGGCTAGCAATGCATTCTGCGGTAATCTTCATTTTTAAGTAGTAATACATTTTGCGAGTGTAAAATTAACAGTTTTCTCCAAAGGAGAGATCTTCTCGCAGCTGATCGACGTCTCCTTTGTGCAGATATTAAAAATATTGCAAATGCTGAGGAAAACTGTACTAGTTAGGGTTGTGGAGTTACTGATGCTATGAGGTGTTAGTGCACCTGTCCCTCTTATGTTCTTATGTTTTATTAATACTGTAGAACTTATAATTACATACAAGCTCAGGGAAAGATGATTGTATTTTTAACAATGAACGATCATAATGACAAAAAGCAAAAAAAAAACATAAATATAATGGGTTTGCATACATTATATGCACAGAAAAAAAGGCACAATGACAAGGTTAAATATCTTTGAATAATCATAATATTCATATAATCAGTGCATCAAAATATTGCATTTGTTGTTGTTGTTGTTTATAAGCCGGAGGGATGAAACGAGAGAAATTCAACAAGAAAAAAAGGAAAACAGGAGATTTAAGCCAGTTTTGCTTATAGATGAAACATTTTGCACATAAAATAAAGTAACAACATATTCAAGAGATAACGATTTTGGGTTTTAGTAATAAAAAATAACTACTAATTCAGTTTAATCCTTAAATATATTATTTTTTGACTTAACATTGCACAATTAATAAAAATATCATGTAGAACTGGCAACAGTACAGTTGTGAATCATAACAATAGTGATTAAAAAAATAGTGCTAAAACTGCACAACAAAGTGTTCACATGTCATGCAACAAATTGCCATTTGTAAGGGAATTACACATTTTTTGAACTACTGATATACAGGTCTTAAATGGAAAATAGTGCAATGTAGGCTGTGACATCTGGACTAACATTTCATGCTGAGCCTGCACATACATGCCTGCTGCAAAATTACAGCAGTAAACTGTTCTTCAGTCCTAGAATTTTGGGGGAGAGCCTTTCAGAATCCATCTGCATAAGGAATTTCTGAACAAATTCATAGTAGAATTTGAGTTCTTTTGGGTATGCCAAATTAAGCACATAGATTGTACCCAGCATCAAAGCACAGGCTTGTGCCACAGATCTGATCTGCTCAAGAATCATTACTCCATCAACAATGATTCCAATATCATCGTAGTCTCCAAGAACACCTCTTTAATGACACATATGCCCATGGTGATGTTTTCCAGGTCTTTCAAGAAGTCATTTCTTTGACTGTTCTATATTTAAATAAAAAGAAACTGTTATTAGACATTGTTTAGATTCATAACACTTTGACAAGTCTACACAATCAAGGGTAATTAGGACGAAAACTATGACACACCCCATATATATATTAAAGATCGACTGAGAATAGAGAGAGAGGGGCATTGCCAGTGTTATCAATTTGTGTGGTGTAATTAGAGTTGGTCGACATGACCAAAATCTTAAATCACAATAGGAGTAATTTTTTTTTTTTAAGATAACAATATCACGATATATTTACTTTTTGCTTTAAATAAGGTCTTTATAATTTTACCATTTTTGATACCATAGAAATGTCATAATTCTCATCACCAGTGTCAACATCAAAAAAAGTAATACTAGCCTAAATTAGGCATGTGATCAGCTAGCGACAAAAAAGCAGGAAAATCTGGCCCTGCATTTATTTAGAAATGGCTGGGGCATGGCTTTCTTCTATTTAGAAAGCCATGCCCCAACATTTATTTAGAGAATATATATTTTATCACATTAAAGATACAGTATATCTTATATTGTAATAATACATACTATTGTCCTGGAAAAAAATGTAAAAGCAGCATTTAATAATCATGATAATAATTTTATAATATATAATATAATTATCAATAGGTTTATTATTAAAATACCTGCCAAAAGTTGGGAAACATTACAATTATTAATTACTTTGAAATTAATTCTCTTCAGTTCATCAAGGCACATTTATTTGACCAAAATAAACCTATGTTTAGGGGGATGTTTTAGTAAAGATATTTACACTGAAACATTAAACTGACAAAAACATAAAAGAAAAATACAATGATGCAAATTAACAGACGTTGCTATGCCATATATGAGCATTCATATCTTACAGAATAACTTGCTTACATTAAAGTCAACTGAATGTTTACTGTAATATGTAGTGATGCATAATATAAAAATACTTACTGTGCAAATCATTGGAAACACTTCAGGAAAACGTCTTCAATTCACACCACGCGAACCTCAAAACTTCCTTTGGCAACAGGGAAATCATGTGTCCGAGTCAGATGCATGTGCAGAGAGAACCTCAAATGAAAGCAAGCACACAATAATTATTATTGTTAGGTTAAAACACAATCAAGCCATTGGTTTTCTGTCTATTTTATTTTATTTTTTTTACCAACGGAGGCACGATAGCTCCACTCTCCCCCGGCCTCTCCCTCCCATTCTCTATCAGAGACATGAATTGTGAATTTTATTAACATTAAGTCTTCCTCCCATTTTCACCTCAAAATTTTGGAGAAGCTGTGCCTCCCCTGCCTCCCCCGACTAGCCGCCACTGCTAGAACTACCATATCCACCGCCAAAACAAACTGCTCTAGAACAAATCATTAAGAAGATTAAAGATTACCTGTCCAAAACAATTTATATCATGTTTAATCACACTAGAAACCGGCAGATTCCCGAAGGACTGGCTGTGGTAAAAAGTTAGACGGGAACAGCCGTTGCGGCCTGGAGCTGGCATCTCCGAAAGCACTTAAGCAATTTTTTTAAATACGTTAGGGTGCCATCTTTACAAATAAACGGCGTATTTTAAGCTTATAAAACTACATTTTCATCCAAAACTATCTTAAAAATACATTTCGTCACATAAAAAAGTTATATTTGCGTTATTTGTGTGTGCGCGCGCTCGGAGTAGGATGTGACCGTTGGTCGCTGGGGAATTTATCCCAAAGACTCGTTCTGAGCTAGACTAGAGCATATTATATTCTTTATAGAGCGAACAAACTATTCACTGTAATAAATGGTGGTGTATTACATAAAATATTACTTACTGTGCAAATAGACCAAATGATGAAAATCCGGGGCTGGAATGAAAATGTCTTCAGTTCCCACCGTGAACCTGACTGGACTGGAAACTCCTTTTGGCGCCAGGGAAAATGTGCATTAGCGCGCATGCGCACCGAACTAACTTAATATTTTCTAACTGAATTTAATTAATTCACATGGCTTGGATTTAAAACACATGTAATTCGCATAATACCCATGCATATTTATTAATTAAAATCTAAAACTAAATTTAAATTCAAAATGTAAAGCTAAATTGAATTATGCTTAATTTAATTGGGGCCATAATCATTATTTTCAGCGTAGGCTGCTGCACCTGTGATAGAGCTGTTCTGCGTTCTGATTAAAAGTTAAGACAGAGCGTCTTTAGTCTGTCGATCTTCAAACATTACAGTAGACATATTTTGGTTTACAAATTGTATTGTTTCATCAGTTAGTCACGTTAGCACTCGGCTAACGTATCCACCATTATTGTTTTAAGTGTTTACAGTTTAGCAGCTAAACTTTAGCTGTGGGCACGATTTGCTTGCATAAGTGTTTTTGTATTTTATGTCATTATTATAAGAACGGATTGGAGCACTATATTATTGTTTTATGTAAAGGTGCTTTGTCAATGGTAGCGCTCGCTAACTTGCTCAAGGACTCCTCTCTGTGCCAATCACAGCAGGCTTGGCCAGCTGACCAATCAGAGCAGAGTAGGCTTATGGAAGGGAGGGATTTGCTCCGAACTTGCTTGTAACGAATCGTTTCGAAATCATTGGCAAATGACTCTAATATTAAATGTATACTATGAGAAAATTACAATGTTTTCTGACCTTAGATGCATTTAAACCTGTTGTAGGGGACACCAACACAATATTAGGACACTTTAAAATGCCATATGACCTGCTCTTTAACTATGCTAACGTGTTGACATGTAACAATCTTGAGTCTGAGCTCTGAGAGGAGACAGAAGGGCCAAAAAGTTCTAGGATTCGCCGCCATATCACTTTCAAAACAATCTGGTGTGTTAATCACCATGGCAACATGTACAAACCAATGAATACGGAGAACCAGGAAGTAGCTCTGCCCACAACTTCCTCGATGAAGCTGAATTTACAGTTCGGAAATCTGTTCCTAGCCCTGATAACAGACACACACACACTTCAACACAATGCAATCAGCTTTATACAAATACAAACAGCTTTCAACACAAAGACGAATGCCCTGACACTTTCACAGACTCCAACCAGTCCTTTAACATAATTTTCACCACAAACAGAAGCTATTTGAATCTACAGTATATATAATATTCTGATGCAGAAAAGCTCCAATGCCCCTCTGTGGTCACCTGTTAAACTGCACAGCAACTCAAATTCAATACAGTTCTACAATATCAGTCCATGATGTGACATGTAAAATACATGATGACATTCTGATCAACAATACAAAGACTGAGCAATATGGTCTGCAAAACTAATGGATGAATAAATTAAACACAATATATTATATCAGGGTGTGTGTAAGGCATGTGGCATTGCCAACCAAAACAGCTGATGTTACAGGAGCTCCAAAGATTTGAGGCATGCCACACAGCAAGCCCATCCCTGCACAGCTGCTCTGCGGTGTGATACAGACACAATCCTTATGGGAGATTATGCTGAGTAAGGTAAACCTTCTCACTGTCACTCACACACACATACTCTATGTTGTCCACATTCAACAAATCAAGCTTAGCATTAGTTCTGGCAGGTCACGTTAGTCAAGCTCGCATCAGCTGACTCTCAGCTGATCCCCATCTACCTATGGGAATACGACACCTATCTAAGCATTCATATATAAGGTCCCTCAGTATTATTAGCAGTTTTCGCATGCTCAATAGCTAATTACCCTCCTCCATCCCCAGCTCCTCATCTGCCAGTCAGGATTCAGCCTTCTGATTATCCTTTGAATCCGACTAATTCTAAAATATGTACATAAATTTATTGAACTTTAACGATATATGCAATGTATATTGATGTTGGCTCTGTTCTGTTTACCCTGGGGGGTGGGGGGTATCACTGCTCTCCCTGCTCTCATCCATGCTAGGCTGCATGGATGCGCAGGCAGTTCTTGCCCAGAACAGAACCATACCGCCAATCCAAACTGTATGCTAACTGTCAATCATCTTTGACGATAGTGGTACTGACAGAAGTATATTTCTATCTGGTTTCCCTTTGAAGTGAACACTGATGTCAATAGGTTTCACCTGTGAAACGCTTTTAACTATGTATAACTTAAAAGAGAAAAAAATACTTGAAATACAGATTGAGAGAGTTAGAAACCAGTTACATAGCAGAAACTAAAAAGAGGTTCCACTTCCTCATTGATATAGAAGGACTGGCTGTGGTAAAAAGTTAGACGGGAACAGCCGTTGCGGCCTGGAGCTGGCATCTCCGAAAGCACTTAAGCAATTTTTTTAAATACGTTAGGGTGCCATCTTTACAAATAAACGGCGTATTTTAAGCTTATAAAACTACATTTTCATCCAAAACTATCTTAAAAATACATTTCGTCACATAAAAAAGTTATATTTGCGTTATTTGTGTGTGCGCGCGCTCAGAGTAGGATGTGACCGTTGGTCGCTGGGGAATTTATCCCAAAGACTCGTTCTGAGCTAGACTAGAGCATATTATATTCTTTATAGAGCGAACAAACTATTCACTGTAATAAATGGTGGTGTATTACATAAAATATTACTTACTGTGCAAATAGACCAAATGATGAAAATCCGGGGCTGGAATGAAAATGTCTTCAGTTCCCACCGTGAACCTGACTGGACTGGAAACTCCTTTTGGCGCCAGGGAAAATGTGCATTAGCGCGCATGCGCACCGAACTAACTTAATATTTTCTAACTGAATTTAATTAATTCACATGGCTTGGATTTAAAACACATGTAATTCGCATAATACCCATGCATATTTATTAATTAAAATCTAAAACTAAATTTAAATTCAAAATGTAAAGCTAAATTGAATTATGCTTAATTTAATTGGGGCCATAATCATTATTTTCAGCGTAGGCTGCTGCACCTGTGATAGAGCTGTTCTGCGTTCTGATTAAAAGTTAAGACAGAGCGTCTTTAGTCTGTCGATCTTCAAACATTACAGTAGACATATTTTGGTTTACAAATTGTATTGTTTCATCAGTTAGTCACGTTAGCACTCGGCTAACGTATCCACCATTATTGTTTTAAGTGTTTACAGTTTAGCAGCTAAACTTTAGCTGTGGGCACGATTTGCTTGCATAAGTGTTTTTGTATTTTATGTCATTATTATAAGAACGGATTGGAGCACTATATTATTGTTTTATGTAAAGGTGCTTTGTCAATGGTAGCGCTCGCTAACTTGCTCAAGGACTCCTCTCTGTGCCAATCACAGCAGGCTTGGCCAGCTGACCAATCAGAGCAGAGTAGGCTTATGGAAGGGAGGGATTTGCTCCGAACTTGCTTGTAACGAATCGTTTCGAAATCATTGGCAAATGACTCTAATATTAAATGTATACTATGAGAAAATTACAATGTTTTCTGACCTTAGATGCATTTAAACCTGTTGTAGGGGACACCAACACAATATTAGGACACTTTAAAATGCCATATGACCTGCTCTTTAACTATGCTAACGTGTTGACATGTAACAATCTTGAGTCTGAGCTCTGAGAGGAGACAGAAGGGCCAAAAAGTTCTAGGATTCGCCGCCATATCACTTTCAAAACAATCTGGTGTGTTAATCACCATGGCAACATGTACAAACCAATGAATACGGAGAACCAGGAAGTAGCTCTGCCCACAACTTCCTCGATGAAGCTGAATTTACAGTTCGGAAATCTGTTCCTAGCCCTGATAACAGACACACACACACTTCAACACAATGCAATCAGCTTTATACAAATACAAACAGCTTTCAACACAAAGACGAATGCCCTGACACTTTCACAGACTCCAACCAGTCCTTTAACATAATTTTCACCACAAACAGAAGCTATTTGAATCTACAGTATATATAATATTCTGATGCAGAAAAGCTCCAATGCCCCTCTGTGGTCACCTGTTAAACTGCACAGCAACTCAAATTCAATACAGTTCTACAATATCAGTCCATGATGTGACATGTAAAATACATGATGACATTCTGATCAACAATACAAAGACTGAGCAATATGGTCTGCAAAACTAATGGATGAATAAATTAAACACAATATATTATATCAGGGTGTGTGTAAGGCATGTGGCATTGCCAACCAAAACAGCTGATGTTACAGGAGCTCCAAAGATTTGAGGCATGCCACACAGCAAGCCCATCCCTGCACAGCTGCTCTGCGGTGTGATACAGACACAATCCTTATGGGAGATTATGCTGAGTAAGGTAAACCTTCTCACTGTCACTCACACACACATACTCTATGTTGTCCACATTCAACAAATCAAGCTTAGCATTAGTTCTGGCAGGTCACTTTAGTCAAGCTCGCATCAGCTGACTCTCAGCTGATCCCCATCTACCTATGGGAATACGACACCTATCTAAGCATTCATATATAAGGTCCCTCAGTATTATTAGCAGTTTTCGCATGCTCAATAGCTAATTACCCTCCTCCATCCCCAGCTCCTCATCTGCCAGTCAGGATTCAGCCTTCTGATTATCCTTTGAATCCGACTAATTCTAAAATATGTACATAAATTTATTGAACTTTAACGATATATGCAATGTATATTGATGTTGGCTCTGTTCTGTTTACCCTGGGGGGTGGGGGGTATCACTGCTCTCCCTGCTCTCATCCATGCTAGGCTGCATGGATGCGCAGGCAGTTCTTGCCCAGAACAGAACCATACCGCCAATCCAAAACTGTATGCTAACTGTCAATCATCTTTGACGATAGTGGTACTGACAGAAGTATATTTCTATCTGGTTTCCCTTTGAAGTGAACACTGATGTCAATAGGTTTCACCTGTGAAACGCTTTTAACTATGTATAACTTAAAAGAGAAAAAAATACTTGAAATACAGATTGAGAGAGTTAGAAACCAGTTACATAGCAGAAACTAAAAAGAGGTTCCACTTCCTCATTGATATAATCACACCCTTGGTCATGTGTCTTCCTTAAAAATGAAAAGCACAATCCACATACAGTAGATCAAACATAATGATAGTGCACTTTGCAACTTGGAAAACTGATTTCCTTTTTGGAAGAAAAAAATAGTTAAGAATAGATAAGATTGACATAAATACAGTTTATTCAGACCAACAACTGTACTGTAACTACTTCAAAAACTCTTTTGATCCAAACTCAACAAACATCAAAACACAGGAACTCAGGAGTACTGAGTGTCACACCTAACTGTGCCTGATCGCCACCTGACCTACCTGCAGAAAGTGGAAATTACATACACAGTACTTTCTATCAATTTCTCTAAAAAAAAAAACAGAGTTATGGACAATTTTCAAACCGATTTATGAAGGTTATCATTCTCAGCTGTCTTTTAAACTGAAAGAGAGAGTGAAATATTTACTTACCAGCAATTCTGTCTCGCTCCATAGCTGGATTATAGCTCCTAACAGCCACATGTGGTTTGTAGCATTTCTCTTCCTCTCCCTTTATTTGCAGACTTCCCCTTTTGCTTTTTTCCGAGAGTTTATTCACTCTCCCCCTCTTCTCCCTCTCTCTCTCTCTCTCTCTCTCTCTCTCTGTGTGTTCACTCACTTTGTTCTCCTTGTTTTCCCCATTCTTTCTTTCTTTTTTTCTTTCTCCTTCCCCGGTACTGATTTTAAAATTGTTTAAATTGTTTCATTGACAAGTGTATCCAATGGAACTTGACTTCACACTGACATGTGCTGATCATATGGCTTTATTCGATCTTCTTTCGTCTTTTGACACTGAAGCTCTATTTTGTCTCTAAGTTCACTCTCCCCCTCTTCTCCCTCTCTCTCTCTCTCTCTCTCTCTGTGTGTTCACTCACTTTGTTCTCCTTGTTTTCCCCTTTCTTTCTTTCTTTTTTTCTTTCTCCTTCCCCGGTACTGATTTTAAAATTGTTTAAATTGTTTCATTGACAAGTGTATCCAATGGAACTTGACTTCACACTGACATGTGCTGATCATATGGCTTTATTCGATCTTCTTTCGTCTTTTGACACTGAAGCTCTATTTTGTCTCTAAGATAAGTCATGTGGCTGTGTTCAAACAGCCTAATGCCCTCACTATGAAAGAATGAATGAGAGAAAACTTAAATCACTGCATTTGATGCAGCTGAATGTGAATTGCAGTATGTCCTATGTCCAGTAGATAGTGCTATGCATTACAAGAATGAAAGTTACAATGCAGTGATAATTTCGTTGACGAATAATTTTCGTCATAATTGTCGTCAACGACATTTCTTCACCGACGACGACGAGACGATAACGAACTAAAACTCTTTTTGAATGACAAAAACGAGACGAAAATGTTAGGGAGGGACGATTTGGGATGAGATTCATTCAGAACGAATCTGCTGCGTGGCTCGGAGGTTATGCATACATATGAACCGGCGGGACATAAGCTAACATACACTTGCTGCACATGGCATAAAACGTTCAAAAAATGTCAATATGTGGGAGTAAGAGAAGAGCAGACGTATGGATAAATCTGACGACACAAGAGAGAGAACTCAATTCGGTTTTCTGAGCGCAGACACTATTCACACAAAGCACTTCTCACAGCGTGCGAGTACTCTTTCGCGTCGCATGAACGGAAAATTACACACAAAATTATGTCGAATTGTCCGTTTTGACGAGTATTCACGTAAACACAGTTGATTACGTCTTAAAGGGGTCATATGATGCGATTTAAAATTTTTCCTTTCTCTTTGGAGTGTTACAAGCTCTTGGTGCATGAAGAAGATCTGTAAAGTTGCAAAGACTAAAGTCGCAAATCCAAAGAGATATTCTTTCCAAAAATGGACACGACTAGAAATCAGTGGTTAAGTTGTATTTACAACACTGTTCCAGAACACTTCAACCCAAATATTCAGATGTGTGCAGCACATTTTATGGAGGACTGTTTACTGATCCTGGTAGAGTAGACTACAATGCCGGCCACAGATTGTAAGTACGTTTTTTATATTTAAAGAGTTTTTATATTTTATATTTTTTATATTTAAAGCTAGTTTTTTGGGCAGTGTAGAGTAGGGCATGTTGTTTGTCATTTCTCAGATCACAAATTCAGACATGGAGGCGCGATGCAATGCAATGCGTAAAAAGACAGTATAAGTCATTATAATCCATAATTATGTCCCCACTGGATGCAACGAATGCCTCGTTTATAATGGGTTTTCATGTTTTTGAATCATCGCTCCGGCCTGACAAGGCATCATCACAATATGGTGAGGGGCGTAACATTCCCGTCACACGCTTGAGGTATTCGGCCAATTACAACGCACTGGATAGCTGGCCAATCACAGCACACCTTGCTTTTCAGACCGATGAGCTTTGTAAAAATTTACGCGTTTCAGAAAGGCGGGGCATAGAGGAGAAACAATAATGTACAATATGTGGAAAATAATGTGTTTTTTTAACCTTAACCATAAACACATTTCATTACACCAAATACACAAAATAATATTATTTTTAGCAACATCATATGACCCCTTTAAGTGACGTAACATTGCAGCCGTGCATTCGGTTTTAAAGGGTCAGCAGCCTAATTTAGTTGCTATTGTCAGAGTCATTGATGTTAATCAAGCAACAAAAGACAGAAAATCATGCACT